GAGACACGTGTATTCAATCAATTTTGTTTTGTATTTTTATACAAAAATAATGGAATCATAAGAATTTTTACACTGAATGACGTGAATTTGGACACAAGAGTGAATTCGAATTCGGGTCTGGATTTTTACAGAATCGCAGGGCAGATGTTAAAGTTTTAAGATATTTACGAACTTCACGCTACAACTATTTGACGTGTTTCAATATTATATTTCTTAATCATCATTCGTTCCAAAAGCAATTAAGATTCCAGAAATCGCTACCGCAATCGAAAATCCTTTGAAAGAAATCTATACCTTTGAAAGTTATCGCGGTAGATTTTAAAATTAGACAGCCCATTGATTAGTTCAACCTTTGGAATAATGAGACTTATCCCAGTTTTGAATATTTCGTGTTTAACTGTTAATGAGGAAGTATTAAAAAAAAATTCCTCACTAGATTTTTGCAGGAAACGAATGAAGCAAAGATAGTCATTTCCGTTCCTTTTAACTAACATATTAAAAATCTGAAATTTGCAATGTTCAAAAGTATACCAATAGAAATAGGAAAAAGTACAAATTGAATATGAGATGTTTATTGAGTTTTGAAAATTAATTTACGTTTATACAAGAAAAAAAAAACGGAAATGTTGTCATGGAGATAACAAGAAAGTAGTTTATCTGGCAGATAAATTTCTGATAGGTTATCAGGGACTTTATCAGCAAGCTGGCCTTTAGTGATAGGTCCCGTTTTAACCCTTAAAATGAAAAAATAGGGCAATTATAGAATTTCACAAACGAATGCCAAATTAATGAATAGCAATTAAAACTCACGTAGGTTCACGTAATAATTGGAGTGGTTAAAACATTACGTGGTAATTGGAGTGGTAAAAACATTAATGGCGTTTTGATTTAAGTAAAATGAGCGAGCTGAAAATCAATATAAGTAGATTTCTAAGTATTTCATAATAATAATTAGGTTATTAATTTACGTCTGTAGTGAATACAATGGCAATAAATAGACCGAAATCTCGCTGACGTTATAATGAAGTAGCCGCAATAAATAATGGCGTGTATGACTTTAATTGTATCTGCTGAACTCATTAGCTGTACGGACATATGATTTGGACGTAGGGTTCACCCGTTGATGTAAATGGATTTTTGTCTCAAGCACTTGCAATGATAAATAAATTACGTATGTTAAATATTCGGTCATTCATCATCATCAGCCATTTCAAACTACAAAAGCTCATTATGGATGGTTAAGGAGGATGGACCATGACGCTCGACGTTGGACCAATGGCTTAACGTGCCTTCCAGAGCACGTAGTAGCTCGAGATAATGATTTGGCTTGAATATTCGGTAGTATCAATTAATTTATTAACACTAGCTGTTTGTCGTGACTTCGCTCATGTAAATTATAGTCTAAGTCACCCAGACTAGTAGCTTTCCGTAGGTGAAAGAGTTTTCATGGTCGGATTAGTATTTCTGAACATTACGTACTTCCTACAAAGTTAGAAACTAACTTTTTATTATACTTTTAGTATTTACCTATAGATAACATATTTTAATTAATTGCAGAGCTATATAGGATTAATGCTGCAAAATTAATTATAAAAAAGTCAAAGAGTATGAAACGAAATAAGCAGGCCCGTTAAGAGAGCGCGTACACATAGAATTACTAACTTTCAACTGGGTTTGTACAGAGAAATAACCTCCAAATAAACGGTATTCAAAATGTGAAATTATAAATTTTCGATCACAAAGTGACCCCAAAAAAATCACAATATTTTCCAATTAGGTATTGTTGTAATTTATAAGGAAAATTGAGAAATATTAGTGTCTGGGCGGGTAAGTAGGTGATCTGATTTTTTAGGGTTCCATACCCAAAGGGTAAAAAAACGGGGCCCTATTAGTATGATTTCGCTTTCCGTTCTTCCGTCTGTCCGTCTGTCAACAGGCTGTAGGTACATTATAAACCGTGATAGTTGAAATTTTCTCAGCGGATGTATTTCTATTGCCGTTAAGGGGCTCCTATACATTAAACCTGAGTTTTTGCTTGATTCTGATAAGAACTTTGTAATATATACCTACTTGCAGCTACATTTCCTTTGCCAGCCCTATAAATTACTCATTCTCTTATTAAATTAAATAATTATTTAGGTATATTACATTCCAAAATAATACTCAAGCTTTTCCAAGCTTTTGGGTACATGTTGGATATGTATTTTTATTGATACAAAATTTATCTGTCTCATCACAACAAGGTGTCATCGCTGTAATTAAAATATAAAAAAAACAAGTAAAGAGAGTTATGTGACAAAATCAAGTGTGTGAGGAAATATATTGCTCACCGCAGTCGTGAGACGCAGCTGCCAAAACAACAGTGGGTGGGGTCAGCACGCGTTGTTTGTAATCACATTATCGTTACACATTTTTTTGTTTTTTACGTTAGCTTAGATATGGTTTTATTTTATGGAATTCAGATATTGTAGCTCGGTGGCGTAGTGGATAAGCGCCGCGGCCCACGAACGTTGTTGTTAAGCATCTTTTGCAATGGTCGGTCACGGGATGGGTGACCAAAAATTTAATATCTCGAACTCCTCCAAAGCACGAAGGCACGTTAAGCTGTTGGTCCCGGCTGCATAAGCAATCGTTAAAACCGCATTCGCGCTAGACCCGCGTGGTTATTCATGGCCCATTATGCCTAGTGGATTCGATTCCATCTTTAAGGAAGGCCTGAGCCCAGTGATGTATCTACAGGGTAACAATTTGGCAATATACCGCTGGCCCCCAGCTGGAAGAGTCCCCCGGTCAGAGGAGACTCCTTACTCCTGACATTTATTATTAAGCGATTAGTCAAAAAATTTAATATCCGATGAATTTTCCACGGGCCCCAAACGGTATAGTTACGCCACAGCCTGAGTGGGGACACTAATAGGTTGGCGATAGTGTCGCGATAGCTTGAAACTAACTGTTGCAATGGGCATTGTCCTGAAATATTAAAATTTTATTAGACTATTAAATTTTTATTAAAAATAATAGTAGTATAAGACTATTTTCTGCATGGCTGACTTAGGAAATAACAGACGTAGCGGTAGCGCATTTCACTGCGGCGATATCAAAAACGAATTCATCTTTATCGTATCCGGTTCATCGGCAAAATCTGGAATAGTGGGCCATCGATCTAGACCCACGACTATGAATGGTCCTATTTGACTAATTATCATCAGTTATCTATAATTATTGAATTATAATGTTAGTCATTATTACAGTGTAGCTTAGGAAACAATTAATTGGATAAAACTTCCACATTCAAAATCTGCTAAAAGCATGCAATGAGTAGATTGTGTACGCGGACTTTTAAGAGGTGAGCAAAGTAAACAAAGAATAAAAGAAAATCATTCGAAAATGCTTTTAGGAGTTTATCATCGCCCCTCATTGCGACTGAACGTTTTTCATTTCTCGAAAATACTAAGTATTATTTTAATGGGAGATATGAACACGTCCGTGTCTCCTCTCACATCGACTTTCGTTCAGCTCACTCGTTTCAACTATCGTTAGCAACTTGCATATTCTGACTCCAAGTTTCCACTCATTATATTCGAATTATTATACTACTTCTCGCCTGTATTTCCTTTTTACGTTTTCTCCACAACAACCTTATCGTACCATGATCTCATCTTTTTCTTATACAAGACGTGTCCTCCGAAGTCGTACGTTTCTCTACAATTGCGGTTAATGAATTCAAGAAACATCTTTTGAATTCGAGTGAAGGATTTTATCGCTGAATGTGTATAATAAGTAGGATAGGTTATTTGGTAGGTACGTACTTATTATTTGGAAAGAGTTAATTTCTATAAAAAATTACTCGCTTTCAAATCGTTATTTTAAGGTGGCATGATATGGTGCAATTATTTACATTCGAAGGTACTAAGTATTGTTCGTGACTTGACACGTTTTCGATTGACTATTTAGAATTCTAATAAATCATTGACGTTAGTCAATAGGAAAAATAAATTAACTTATCAACAAACCGTAAACGGTCCTCGATGACGCGTTGCGTGGGAAAAGGGGGACAAACGAGTGATCCCAGGGGACATACAGTTTAAGACAACAAACAAACTCACCGCTTCAACCTTTCGCATACAGATCATCCAATTACAAGTGGTAATTCGATAATTTATAGTTAGTGATATTAACTAGCAATTAATAATACTAGAGCATGAACAGAAGAAAGAACTCTGGTATAATCTCTTATAATCTCAAGCAACGACATCTTTTTGGTAATATAATAAACAGGAAAGATTTGAATGTTTGTTTGTTTGCATTGAACATGGATTGAAAATAGGCTTGGTAACTACTGAACTTATATGCGGGTGCATAGACCTCTTACACATCATCTTTTCGTTTAGGCGGGCGAAGTCACAGGATAACAGCTAGTAAGTGATAAATACGGACCACATAATTAATAGAGTAAGTCTATTTTTTCTCCCGGCGATTTATTTGTTACCTACTTATAATAAAACGACAGTTTGCATCATGATTTTTATTCATATAAAAAAATATGAGAGATAAAATACATGAGCTCTATGTTCCTGTGCTCTTTATCTATGATAACATTAAAATTCGATTGATGAAAAAGTTTATTATACAGGTTAATAAACTTTTTAAGGGCTTAATAGTCCGCGCTTATTAAACAAATAAGTTATGAAGTATGTGGCAATCTATAAATTAATTTCGGTCAAACTAGGGGTCAAACAGAAACAAAACGAGTGTCCAATGAATATCATTTTCATCTCCCCGCCCAAAAACAAGCTCCGCCTTCATCCGTGGACGGGCGCGTGAGCAACATTCAGTCAGTCTCTGAAATACAGTAATTAGAATCATTGTCACGTTGAGTAGTATCAATTTCTTATGAGTAACAATAATTTTAATATTATATAATAACAGTTTTTATTAAGATGGTAATGTTGTTCTAAGGATAGATATTTTCTGCCTTTTGTATAACTTTGGCAATTAAAATGGAATTCCTGAAACACGATTTCTTCGTGCCAGTCGATGAAACAAATGAATGTCAATCTGAACAGAACTATTTCGAAGGTTTACCATATCAAGTGGATGGTGTCCATCAAGAGGTGGTACACCCATGTTTCCCAATATTCTATGACTACAGACAGATTGAAAGGCAAGAGGACGTCGGGGTCAACCACTGGGACTGGTCCGAGTGGAACGAGCGTCAGGTTTTTGTGAAAGTGGAATCGGATTTGGATACATCTGGCGGTATTTCGAGTTACAGTGAAGAAGGTGAGAAATCTTCGATATTCATTTCCAAAGCTTTCTCAAGTTATTAAGTCACTGATTTATCTACTTGAGATCGTATACCTGTTTCGCTTTACCAACTTATTTAATTTTAATAAAAACTTTTTAAATTATTTCATATGGCCCTAAATTATACCCAAGTAGGTACAGTTAGGTGAAAGCCCTGCTTTAAGATATCTTTGTAATATATTTCTATCGAGAAAATTTTATAAACGTTTTTACATGTTAGTAACGTTATATGTTGTAATTGTCATCTCAATATCCAGTGTATGAGCTGTGGTATGGTGTAGTTTTCTTATTTTAATTAAGGTATGGTTAATTTAAATGTTCCCTTATAAAATAATGAATTCATGATTACAGGTGATTTTATCCATAAATATTCAATAAATTAAATTATTTAATTTAAAAAGTTATTGCGAATTGTGACAAATAATTTAATTAAATATAAAGAAAACACTAGGCTGGTTTTAAAGTCTACTCTTGAAGCGTCGGGGTCGTTTCCCGACTGGGTCAATGCAACTGATGTATATAGCCTATAGGTATAATTATCGGGTTATATCCATATGTAACTTTTCTGGGTGATTGTAATACCTTCGGTAATTCAGATTTCTATAACATCCGTTTGTTTAAAGTTTCGTTACGTTAAAAAAATATTTGTTTTTAAAAAGAGGTCTATTAAAAAATATTTTGGGGGCCTATTCTATTTGCCCTCGAACGAAAACTGAGAAAATTTTGAATCGTTCTTATAATTTTGTTAAAATCGTAGTCGTAATGATATTACCTATCTTTGCGTTAGAGGCAGCGTCATATCCTTTTCCTACGTTGCATTACATCCTACATAAATTATCGAAAAGTACATCTCTTTGGAGGTACAACTCCAAGGTTTATTTTTCGTGGCGCCGACACGCTAATATAAGTATAAAAGGAACTATATATAGTTCCTTATAGACTGTGATAATAATGACAGACATTGGCTATAAACCTCACCTGTTTGCCAGGAAGGTTAGCTAACAGCGACAGTCATAAACCATCTTGTAAACAAACATCTCGCTGAGCAAGCGCTCGGCGCCGGCGCCGGACATTTGCAATAGTTTATCGCCTAGGTATTAACGATTCAATATACTGTGTTGACAATAAAAAGTGTGATTTTACAAAATTGACTATCGTATTGGCTGAGTAGTTCCATGGCAAAACCCCTCTCCACTCCCAAACAGAAAAGTCATCCTTTCCTTTCCGAATCATCATCATCATCATCATCATCATCATCATTATCATCATCAGCCCTTTTACGTCCCCACTGCAGGCGCTCAGGCCTTCCTTATGTATGGTTAAGGAGGTAGGGCCATGACCCTCCACGCTGGCCCAATGCGGATTGGAGGGTAATAACGACTGCAAATGCAGCCGGAACCAACGGCTTAACGTGCCTTCCGAAGCACGGAGTACCTCGAGATAATATTTTTTTTTTCACCCATCCCGTGACCGACACTTGCGAAAGTTGCTTAATGACAATGATCGCGGGCCGCGGCGCTTATCCACTACGCCACCGAGCTATTCGAATAACACAACACAACTAATCTGTGACTTGAGTTTTATTTGTCATACTTAAAAATATGACTAATCAGTAGCGTGGCTTATTTTATTTCTTGCATTATTTAACACTGACTTGAAAAATTAATTAATCGGCTCTGAACCATAGCGAGGCTCCCAATTGCGCGGGGCCCATAGCATTTGCTAAATTGCTACGTGGCTAATCCGACCCTGTATATTGTGTAAACAATAAAAAGTGTGATTTAACGTAATTGACTACCGCAGTGGCTGAATGGTTCATCTGGTGGTGTCACCATCTTGAACTCTCGAGTTCGATTCCAAGTCGGTTCGACAAAGAAAATTATCTTGTACATATATTGTCTAGAGATTGGGCATTGTGATATTATTATATACCGTTATTTGTGATTAGATACTGAAATTTTCTGTGTAATAAGTCATTTTAATTTCTTAATTCTAGTCCTACTATTATGCGTTCAAATAATAGGTAACTTAATTTGTGACCTGCAGTATTAGTAAGTGTCATACTTTAATGCATATTCCAGACGTGCGTTCGGAGAATAGCAGTCGCAAGGAGCGTACAGCTTTTACAAAAGTTCAGATCCGTAGTTTGGAGGAGGAGTTTGCGAGAGCCAACTATCTGACGAGGTTGCGTCGTTACGAGATAGCCGTGGCTCTCAATCTCACTGAACGACAGGTATGTTTATAATTTTCTATTATATTTAAGTAAAAATTAGTGGTATAACTCAAGCTATGACTCAAAGTCCAATTATAAGTATATCACGAAATATGACTTGAAAAAAACTAGTCTTTATATCCTTATAAATACAGAGACGGATAATATGTATGTTAGTTCCGTAGGTAATATAATGAAAAAAATAATAATCAGGAACTTTGAAATTAGTAGGCAGGCATGTAATTAACATACAGGCATTGGAATTTTTTTATGAAGTATAATGGAAAGCCAATTAAAGTCAAATATGTCTTTTTACTGCCTCGCATAAGGTGTGAAAAATGTTATATGTATTTACCTTTTCACCTCTGTAGGCAATAAAGCCGCTCTAGTGCTGACCGAATCGTTCGCTTCACTAACTATACATTACTCCGTAACGCTGGGGTAAAAAAAAAAACTTCACAGTAGTCTTTCTAAGCGTTCTAGATTCAATGCCGTACCCATGTCGTCAGACAGTCCTTTATTACTTAGGTGAATATCTACTGACCGCCACCTTAATGAAACTTGGCGCCCTATACAAAACTTAGAACGGCGCCTATAAAAAAATCACAACAAAATAAAACACTAATGTAAGTACACCGAATAAAGACTGTAATTTAGAAAATGGCAATTGAAAATATTTTTTTATACAGCGGACATGGACTTATGTCCAAACAAAAGTAAAATTTTCAACTCATTTTCAAGGTTCAAATAATTAGAGCAAACTTAATCTGTTTGTCACGCCTTGCTCCCCTCAAATATCAGCACCCTAGGTAACTGCTAAGGTTGCCTATATTTACTGGCCGGCCCCGTAGATATTAACTATTATTGATTCTATCAAGACATATCTTCTATAATGTCCTTATATTAATGACACATAAGCTCGCCCGCGTAAATTATAGTCTATAAGCCAGTTGCACAAACGTCTATTAAAATTTTCATTACTTTAAAGCGACATTACCCATACAAATTTGACATTCAGTAGAGCCAAAAGGCGTCATTAAACCTTAATTAACGTTTGTGCAACTGGCTGTATGTCACCCGCGAAAAATATGTAAAAAATTTTGACAACTATGTTCACCGTAGGTCGTGAGCACGTTATGATTTTACGTATAGTATGGAATCAGGGTAAATACAGCGCCTCTACCAGTAACTATCGGGAACTACAAATCTCCATACAAATTCTTAACGCGCTTAGTGCTTGTGAACGCGTTAATGTAAAAGTTATACTTACCACTCTGATCAGTATCCGAATTGAATAATCCAAAGATTACCCTTTAAACGGTTTTATCTTATTGTAAAAGTGCTGCATCATCATCAGCCCTTTTACGTCCCCACTGCAGGGGCTCAGGCCTTCCTTATGGATGGTTAAGGAGGATGGGCCATGACCCTCCACGCTGGCCCAATGCGGATTGGAGGGTATTAACGACTGCAAATGCAGCCGGGACCAACGGCTTAACGTGCCTTCCGAAGCACGGAGTAGCTCGAGATAATAATTTTTTGGTCACCCATCCCGTGACCGACCCTTGCGAAAGTTGCTTAAAAATAAGTTCGTAAATGAATATGAATATGCTTGATTCATTTGTATTCTAGCATATTTATGACTTTTCATAAAAAAATGTCTGTTTTAATATATTTAAGTATTTTATTAATTTGATTCATGGTATGTCTTAAGGTAAAAGTTTGGTTCCAAAATAGAAGAATGAAGTGGAAACGCACGAAAGGAGCAGTTAAGCACATCAAAAGAAAAGAACCATCATTATCTGAGGGGTTACAAGAATCGAAATGAAGATGTAGTTAATTTTTAATTCTGTAATAATATCTGGGGGCCAATTCTACTAAATAAATTTTGTTTAAATCGAATCGAAAACGGATCGAAAGCGGATCGAAATCGAACGAAACTACAGTTTTTAATGGTCTTTCTATTCTACTTAGTGACATAGGGGAGATGAGCCCAAAACGGGTAAGCTAAGGGAGATGTTCAATAAAACAATCAAGAAAAGTAACTGCAACTTATATTTGTACTCATAGGAATGTTTATTTATTAAACTTTTAAAAACAAAACACAATCATAGTACTCTTCTTATGTACTCAAAGAAAAATAAAGAAAAAAAAAACCTTCGAACTACCCGCTTTGCCCGTAGGGGGGGCCTAAAACGGGTACCGTCTTTGGGCAAAACGGGTAATGAATAAATCTACGAAATAAATCAACTAAACTATAATTTTTAACATCTTAACCTTTAATTATAACATAATGACTTTTTTTATCCTTAATCAGTCTCCATAACAATCACATTATTTTTTTACTTATTTAAATCCTGCATTTAAAATTACATTTCTATCATTAATAAACAAACTAAAGTTATTCTTGACAAGCATCACAGTAATAAGAGCCTCTACCAGAATATCCAGTGCACGCTTCGTGAGTCCACATTTGGCAGTCATCACATCTGATCCAGTCTTCGATAGGGTGTACATATAACTCAGAACAAACCAAGCATGAATATTCAGTTTCCTCATTTTTACCTTTTCGACCACGTTTGGGTTTTTTCTTTAAATTTTTATTTATGACGTCAATTTTAGTTTTTGAAACTTTTTTCTTATTCTCGTTGTTGATCTTTTATGGGTGTGCTTGTAAGTATTTCAGCTTTCTGTGGTTTACGTCTTCGAGTAGTTTTTTGTGGGATCATTTGAGGTAGTGGCCTGATGTTCAGTGGGGTCATATGCTGTTTTTCAGGTTGCAGGCCCGTATCTTCTGCTAAAGTCTTACATGGTGTTAAAGGTTCATCAAAAGATTGAACAACTGGAGTTGGAGTATTGCGCGGTTCATTAAAAGGTTGCGGTTCGGGTTCGTTTTCTTCCATAGGCAAATTATTGTCCACATTTTGATTCAAAATAGACGGTGACACAGTGCGGTCAGAATCGAAAGATGATCGAATATTTGCATCACAGGGGAGAGATGTTTCAACATGATGTTCGTTATCAGCAACAGATATCTCTGGAACATTAGCAAGTGACTCAGTCTCATTTTTAGTTAATGGCTCTGGCCTATCAGTCATACTGGCTGGCATGTAATCACCGTCGTTAAATATGTGTCGATTGGTTGGCCATATACCAGTAGAAGTAAATCCTTTTATTGCATTATGTGCACTAGCCGCTTTAATGTAGGCCTCGCCAAACAATTTTGCCACATCATACTGTGATATGATGCGCCCGACATGTGTTCGTTGAAACAATGAAATAGCCTGCTCAAAATAATTTTTGAATGGACCGTATACACATGTATCAAGTGGTTGTAGGCGGTGTGTCGTGTGTGGTGGTAGAGACACAAAAATCACATTATGCTTTGAAGCATACTCTAGGACTTCAAGATACATATGCGATTCGTGATTATCCATCACTAAAATTATTTTTTTATCAGGTGTTGGCCTAGTCATACTCACAAAGTGACGCAGCCACTCCAAAAATATAGGACCGTTAATCCATCCATTGTCTATACAGCTTGCAACGGATCCAGGTGGAGCTCCATCCAAAAGCCTAGGCACCATTCTCTTCCGATCAAAAATTAGAAACGGGGGTATAAACGAGCCTGCTGCATTACAGCAGCATACCACTGTTGAGAGTTTACCACGCTCTACACTTGCTATCACGCCGACTTGTTTTTTTCCCGACTTGCTGAGGACTCTTGGAGGTTTGTTGCTGTTGGTTTGAATGCCAGTTTCATCAACGTTATAGATCCGCGTTGCGTCAATGCTATGCTTTTCAATCTCTCCTTCGAGTAAGTCAAAAAATCTTAGTACTTGTGGTTTGTTAAAACCTCTAGCACGTGCTATTGATGTTGGTTCCGGACGGCGAAGACTCAAGTCTGGATGCCGATTCTTAAACCCCAGATACCAATCTTCACCAGCAGTTTCATTTTTAAATGGGTGTGGAATGTTATTACTTACTTATTGACCATCTATAAATAATAATAAAAAAAGAAATAAGTAAATAAAACGACATTTTAGTCAACTAAATTACAACACTAGAATTATGTTCTTGTCCTAGTCTATTCCAGGGCAAATCGGGTAGTCACCCGTTATGCCCCTACCCGTTTTGCCCAAAACACGTTGTAAATTTCAACTACCGTAACCTAAAAATTGTAAACACCGGCGACGACTAGGTATTCACAAATAACAAGCACATTACTTGTAAATTATTATATAAAACTAAGAAGAACATCATTTGCACTATATTCGAGTAAATAACATTAGCATAAGTCGTTTTTTTTAATAAAAATAGTAAAAAACTTTGTTTTCGTCTTATCTTGAAAGTGTTCGCTTCACGGTTGCGGCCCGACTGCCTGAGATGGCGGGGCGGTCGGGACGCCGCACTGCACTCACACATTCTCGCTAACACTTATAGCATACCTACCGTCAAGCCTACCCGTTTTAGGCAGGTTACCCGATTTAGGCTCATCTCCCCTACGATACAATTCCAACTAACGAACTGGAATGGTATCGTATGTCACTTTGTAGAATAGGAAAACGATTAAAAACCGTAGTTTCGTTCGGTTTCGATCCGTTTTCGATTCGATTTAAATAAAATAAAAAAAAAATCTAATCTGAAATTGGTTTAGTTTAACCAAAAAAAGTTTTTCTGTTGTCTGTCACAATAATGGCAAATTCAATGGTCAAAAAGAAAAATTGAGGACTGGTAGAACAGCTAAATTGTGCGATGTCCTTTGACTTTAGTAGCGATTTGTTAGGACAACCCGACTGCAAACAAAAGTATTGCAACTCGTATGTAGTTTTTCGATATCGATTGAGATGGGCCTAGCATGGCATTGTATGGGAGCCACCCTCTTCGATCATTGTCATTAGTTTAACAGTAATTTATCATCAATTAATTAGTTTAACTTTGCTGTCTGGGTCGGGTAATGAATTACTAATTGCAAGAAAATATATTATGTAAGGAGGATCCTCCTCAACCATCCATAAAGAAGGCCTGAGCCCCTGCAGTGGAGAAGTAAAAGAGCTGGTGATGATGATATTATGTAAAAGCTAGATAAATGTATTCTAATGTTTACGAAACCTTTTTAAGAGTTTTTTTCATTTAAACACTTTATTTTTAATTGTATTTAGACTATAGTCTAATTTAATGTTATATAAATTTAGTATGCACTCTTTTATTTTATATAAAAGATCTGCCAGAAGTACTAAGTTATGACTGTATACTATTTGCCGATGATACATCACTAATTAAGTGCAAGAATACGGACAGCTTGGAGATTGATTGTAATGATGATCTTAAGATAGTTATAGAGTGGTTAGAGTAAAACTATCTAAAGGTGAATTTTCAGAATAGTAGTGTAATACACTTCCACCCTTATGATAACCAAACAAGATCTGTTTATGCTCTGGGAAACTGCTTTAGTGGCTTATAATGGGTATGTTATCACATATAAGGGTTTTAATTGGAGCCGACTACCTAGACCACTGTAAACCACTATTTAGAGTTAAAAATCTTACCATGTGTTTTGTATGTTTTTTTTAAACCCCACATCCTTTTTTCTAAATAAAACAATCCGTAAAACACAAAAAGTAGATACAAGCAAAGCTGTATTTTCTAGTGCAAAGATCAAAAATGTATAGTGATAACTCATTTTGTAATGCTATTAAAATGTTTAATAAATTGCCTGTTGAAATAAAAGAATTTACTACGAACATATTTAAATAATGAATCAATTAAATAATCAATGACTTGTTTAATTTATTTCTTGACATAAAATGTAATTTGTAAAAGTTACAGCTGACATTTAAATAAATACGAGTTAGATGTATTAATTTTTTGACATGATATTAGTTAAGACATGCTGTATAATTTTATTAATTCATCTGATGACGCGATGAATTCATAAAATCTTAATTATAATCAAGATGTAATATTTCCACACCAACGACGGTAGAATATGCTGAACATTGTAATCCTGACATCTGAATGTATTATATCATATTTTGGGAAATAATAATAATTATTATTAGTATTCATATATCTTTGTGATTTTTATAGAGCAATTCACCTTTCTGTTTTCACAAAACGCTTGATCATGTCAAGCTACGCTAATAATAGTTTGCGCATTTATAGGGTTAAAAATATGAGATATAGCATTGTTTTTGTAGCTTTGCCGTTTCACTTTACTCATAAGAACTACGCGAGACGGCAATAATAACATTGTTTTCCGAAAGCATATTAACGACCACTATATGTTTGCAGAAATATTTTTTTGTGAAAAGTAGAAAAACTTAAGTTATTAATAACTTGATATCACGTAAATAAAATGCACGTGTAAAATATTGTTCTCATTTATAAGTAACTCTATCAATCAAATTAGTAAATATAACACCTGTATTTACAGTCGAGAAGTAATTAATTGAGAAAACATCATAATTTTAAGCAGATATTTTTACCAAATAAAGTAAGGTCTGTTAATAGTTGGAATACATTTATTATTAGCTATTAACAGTTTTTACATCATTAAAATTCTCGTCTATTGGTTAAAAATGTTTGCTTAAATTTAGACATTTTTTAAGTAATTATTTATCTCTATGTGGTAAGGGTGAGTCGCATCAACTTCCTTTAACAGTAACGGAGTAAATTTACGCTGAGACTGCACTTAGTATTAGTCAAAATTCATATTATTGAAAAGTCTTAGCAAAGGTTAACCTAATACGAGGATCTACATGAGTAATATTTACTCCTAGAAGGCAGTAGGTATGCTTTTTCTCTATATAATATGAATTTGGACTAATACTTAAATTGCAACTTACCGTAAATTTATTCTGACGTTAAACCTTGTTTATTAACAGCACTGTAAGGGTAGTTAGTTTGTTGATTACAACTTACGTAGCGAATCAACTGCTCTTGACTCACCTATTTGAATTCCCAAGTTGTATAAATAAATCTTACATTAAGAAATAAAAACACCAAGTTCAGGAGATAAGGATATGTTTATTAGACAATTCATACCTCCGGCACGTAGTGACATAGCATGCCGAAAATAAAACTAAAAAAATAATAATAATAATATTGTATACTAACACACTATCTTTGGAAGAAACTAAATATCCGGGCTATAAAGGGCCTACAATTTGTTCAAAACTTGTGAGCGATACACCACAAATGATGAAAACCGATGAAAAATAAAAAAAAAACAGTGATGAAACTTCCAAATAGTAAAATAGTACTAGCAGTATTATAACATTCAAAATTATCTGTTAAGGCGATGAATTCTACACAATGTTAATATGAGCATTATTTATTTTATAAAAAACACCGCCTTAGCAAACACATTTTTCATTTCTGTACATTATCTAAAGTTAACATTGGACCGTAATCTATATCCATGGACCAAAATAAAATACTAGTAATTCTCAACAATAGATATATAATATGTATTTTAAACATACAATTTTCAACCATGAGCTTTATTATTATGAAATATAAAATCGGTACTCTTAGTTTGGTACTTACTCTGTGGATTGTATGTACAGATGTGCTCTGCGATGTTATATCAAACAAGTACCTTTATTAGGCACATAATTCAACCATTTCAACTATTGTTACATGTACCGTCAATAGCGCGTCAGGTCAGGGTATACAAACTGTCAAATTTCAGATTTTAAACCTTAATACATTAAAAATAGTGGTCAAAATCCATTTCGCAAATTTGACATTTTGCTATAATCTGTACTACTTAATGTTTGGTACCAATGTCAATATTAAGAGCATTATAATTCTTAAGTTATGCATTTTAATATTATGTATGAATATTTAAGTTATATCTAACTAAGGACCAATGTAGTATCTATTAAGGCTAGATTTACACAAATGAAATTAATGTAAATTGTGATGACAAGATTTCATTCAATAAAAATTACCTTTGATTTATATTTATTTCCCTTTATTGTGAATTGTTCATATTTTTTTTGGTAATCAAACTGTTCTATTTCATAAATAATTCGCGAGTAAATGTATGTATGAAATCTTACTTACAACAATGGAAAAATATGCTCCAATGATATTCAAACTATCAATTAACACTATACAAGTCTATACATAATAGTAATTGTCTATTTTCACGCAAATGATACGAGGTTACAGATCGTAACGATTATTATATGTAGGGTAGCCATAAAATAAATTATAAATGCGTTATACAACCTGACTAGAGAATTTTGAATGTTAAATTTTCAGTATTTTCGAGTTTCACATAAATAATGAATAAGCAGTATTTTTCGGAATCTGAGATATATTGAACACAAATTTAATTGTATGTCTGTTGGTCAGATCAACATGTATTATAATTACAAATGCATACACCAAAGTATATGTGACCATCATAAGAGGGTGAAAGGAACATGTTTCGGTAAAAAAAAGCCAAAAACAGTAAATAATAGGGAAATTTACGAAATGAAAATATTTAATTATATAAAAAAAAATACGTAAATATTCCTGATTATCACGACGAATAAAAAAAGATTAAGAACAGATGTGTTATAAATTGTAATTTAATCTCTCCACAATAGGGTTTAATATACATAGAGCCAATACATCAGTTACATGATCATATAATACAGTATGTATTAAAGTATCAAGTTTCTTAAATCATACAATTCAGTCAGTGTATTAAAAAAAAAAGAACAAATTTCAAAAAGGGGTGTTTCCGTGAAAACACGTTAATACCTGCGTATCATTTGCACAAATAAAAAAAAATATTAATAATAAAACCTAATATTTGAGAGTAATACATTTCAACACGATCCTCTTCACCTTTATTCACAGCGCATTCACACGTCAGTCTATTCTACTCTAATATATACACAGTATATTAATTATTAAGGCTCAACCGGTGTTCTCACTTATCGTATTGCATCCTCGCTCGGGTCCGTACACAGATTCACTGAACACGAGCGATATGAAACTAGGGTTTTGTCCAATAATTTAAGGGGGGAGTGGGGGTATTAGTTTCTCACTTAAAACACTACACTACACTCAGTTTATACTCGTCCGCGTATTTTGTTCGTGGACGCGAGGCCGTCGCTACACGACCACGAAGATAACGTTTCGTTATGGACGCGGACCTTCTATACTCTGCATCAGCGAAGGTGACGTGACCACCACATTTTGCGGTACAGTCGCCACCATACTCTGCGGTATCACCGTCAAGGATTTCGGTATCTTAGGCATAACGATAGGCATGTTCGGGTTAAGTACTGTTTCACTAGTTATCGATACCGCTGGACCGAGCTGTGGTATCTTCAAGGGGGCGGTGACGAGGAGAGACGGTGACGTCACAACGGGCGATGTTAAAGTCTGTGACGTCACCGTGGCAGTTTTCGGCGGGATCGGGGCGATAGTGATATTTTTTAAGCCAACATTCTTGAGTATCGTAGCGGCGTTTGTGCCGATCTGGCCTAATTCGGGCATATCTTTAGCTTTATCTTTGTCTTCTGCAGTGATGTTTTGTACAACGGTTCCACCGTTGCCGAGCATAGTTGACGGTTGTATTTCGGTGACGACTGTTGTTTCGTCTGTGGACGGCCGTTTCGTTTTCGCTTCGCCGTCTTGCAACTGTTGCAATTTCTCTCGTCGCATAACGCACATTTTGTTGTAATCTTGCAACGTAATATGATAACGTTTGCCGGAGGACATCACTTGGACGAGACTGGGCAGAGTTCGTCCGTCTACCGCCACTTGTGTAGGTTCTCTGGCGATTCTCGCTAGGTTTTCCTGGAAAGTTTGAACATATGAGTATGGGTAATTGTTCCTAAATTGATTTTTTGTTTCAAATTCAAATATATTTATTTAATTAATACATATATAGACATATAATAATCTTTATTGTTTATTTAAACGATCAAATTTTACACCAGTGATGCTTATTAATTTATTTACTTGTATCTAACTAGCTTTCGTCAGCGGCTTCGCTCGCGTGGTCCCTAGGGAAATATTTAGTCGGAAAAAAGTATCCATATCTAAATCAGCTAATACCCTATCTGTATACCAAATTTCATCAAAATCCGTTCAGTAGTTTCGGTGTGATTGACGGACAAACATCCAAACAAAGAAAACTGTCACATTTATAATATTAATATAGGATTATCTGTTGCTGAATTTGGTTGAAATCTGCATTTCAGCATACAGCGGCTCTATCCTCGAAAAATTTAGGAAATTTTAAGCCTTTTTTTATTGGTATCTAATTTCAATTTTATATTTAGTAGCGAAATTTTCGGGTTCGCTGTACGATAACCGTTAGTTTCAACTAAAAATCAATTTCTTAACTGAATTTTTATTAAATGGAAATAAGATATGTTGTGGCAGCCTGACATGATGCTATGTACATCTTAATTCCGTAGACATTTAAATATAGCTTTATATAATTGCCATAAGATTAAACTGGGATCTAATTGTGTTATTTTAAAATCTATTGCAACCCTTTTAAATTTTACATTAAAAAGATATTCGTGAACGATATCCATAATTTGACATTAGGGGCCGTCCATTAATCAGGTGATGTTTTTTTCAACATTTTTTGACCGCCCCTCCCCCTTGGTGATACATGGTGAGGTTTAAGACTACCCCCTCCCTCTTTCAACCAAATCACGTGTATTTAAACAAAATCAAAAAAATCTTAATTTTTGACGTCGCCTTTCGGTTTAATAATCGCGCGTCGAGGAAAAAATAAATACACGTGATATATCACTACACCCCCCCACCCCCTTGTGATATTTCGTGAGTTTTGACGAATCCCTCCCCCCCTTTCGAGCCTCACGTGATTAATGGACGGCCCCTTAACTGTCTAAGGCGAGAGTTTGACGTAAATATTACTTTAAGTTACTATGTCATTATTTCTCGATCATCACATCATCATTCATTCTGAAAGCATTGCGACTTCAATCTTTACATTAAGCGTAAATCATTATGCCCTTGAAAGGGATTGCAATAGATTGAAATAAAAAAATTGCCCACCGACTATAAATTATAAAATAATAAAGGTGTGTCTAAGTTAATAAAAAAGGAAATCCTTTTTTTTTAAATGATAGAATAAAACCAGATAATCAAGAGTTCAATTAGTAACTCACCGCAGTTATAGGCATGAGTGTGGGACGCCACGGTTTACTTGTTGCCTTCTGTTTCTTAGGCGTGTCAGTCTTAGGAGTGTCCTTTTTTTCTTTAGGAGCATCTATTTTAGGGGAATCAAACTTTGGTACGGGCGATGCGGCAACTTCGGTGGGATCAGAAGCCGATACACCCTTCACCAACTGTTGGATATTATGCAAAACATTCTGGATAGCTTTACGACCCTGCGCATTGGGAGTGTTTATAGCAATCAGCTCCGGGGGCAAAGGTTTCGATTTAGATTTATCACTCTTCGAAGGTTTCGGCTTCGGAAGTATCACAGGGGGCGGCATAAACTTCTTCGGGTCTTTGTCGCTGTCGCTTTGATTAGACTTCAATAAGCTTTTGCCGTTCATCGAGGGCTTCTTTCTGTATTCTATGAGGCTGACGTGCTGTTCGGGACGTTTAGGTATATCATTAGGTATGTTGTCGTAAGCTCGCAAGCGAGTTTGAATAGAATCACTATAGTTTATCGCTGGAGATGTAGCACTATGAGATAACACTAAGTCACCGCTTCGGAAATACTTCTCTAGCAACACAAGATGCCTCAGGAAACTGGACTGATTGCCGTACGGCCTTTGCAATTCGTTCCACAGCCGTTTCGTTTCACTGTCGTACTGGATCACAGTGTTACACTTCTCCCAACCTTCTGGAGTAATACCCTTCACGTTGTTGAACTCTATACTGCATTGCAAGTTCATCTCTTCCTCCCCTGGGAACAATTCTCGGACAGAAATAGATGGGTTCGTTTCCAATCTCTTTACGGGATTTGAGTATTTGACCTCATTCCCTTTCTTGGGCTCCTTATCTCCAGTTAACTTCTTGGATAATTCACTAAGGTTCTTCTTCACTTGTGTGAAGCTTTCTGACATCTGCCACTTGTTCTTTAGAGTGTTTATATCAGCCGGTTTTTTATTGGGTATACTTTCTATCGTACATTCATCATTGAGAGATATGTTTTTGATGTTGAGGACTGTCACGGAACCATCTTTAGGGTTATCAGGGTCGAAAACTTCCAGTTCACTCTCCTTTCTAATATGTTTCTCTTTGTGTGTCACAATCTGGCCAAGTTTTTGTATTCTTTTCGCGTTCTTGTCGCTGATTCTGTGCTGTTGGCCAGGTTTCTGTATCCCCGACACAGTTTGCAGTTTCATTATGTTCTTTTGCTTCTGAGTTAGATTGGTACTCTTCTGCAAGAATTGTGCTGGGTTATTCTGTTTCTGGAGGAGGTATTGTAATTCAGTCTGTTTATCCAGAGGTATGAGTGGAGCGTCTAAATCGAGCATGTCTGATTCTGAGCCGTCGCTTTGTGAATTCTGCTCGTTGGTCTTCATGGCGCCTGGTACCAAGATTTTATTGGAGGATATGAGGCTTTCTATATCTTCTTCTATGTGCTGTGCCGGTTTCTGGTTAATCGATTCATTGCTTTCCTCTTTCACCTTTTCTGGTGAGCCTTCATCATGAGGCGTAGTTCTCGCGGAGGACTCGCTGGCATCTTCTGACTTTTCTGGGTCAGTTGATTTTCTTTGTTTGGACTTGGTGCGTTGTTTCCTCTTTTGTTTGCTATTCAGGAGGCTTTCCTCTTGCATTATTGATTCCTCGGGCTCATTTTCGTTTTCTGGCGGTGGTTCTATATTGTACATTTGAAGTAGTCTGGAAAAGAGAATGACATTAATTAATTTTGTATACTTACTTATTCATTTCTGGTTGTACCTAAAATAAAACCTGTGTCAATTGGCTACTTAACAGATAAAACAATAACATTATAAATTTTAGTTTAAAAAAAAATTTAAGTGTATTTTATTTTTGCTAAATTAATTTGTATATTTATAATCTGTGGATAACAAAAACCGCGGGCAGCCATGGCGGAGCAACGTGTAACGTTTTTGAAATGTGACGTCACGGTTCGAAATGTCTCGTAACTGATTGTTTTCGTGGGACAATTTAAATTAATGAAGAAATATAACACTTGGAAAAAAATGAACCTGATACTGTTTTAATATCGACATTGCAAATACTTTTATCAAAACAGTCAAAGAGCCAATTTAGTGAAAAATATTTTTTTATATACATATTGAAAAAACAAACAGGAGATAGTTTCTATATAGATAAAGACTAACTGTAACGTAGAGGAGAACTGAAGAAAAACTGTGTCACTTACTTGCGTCTGTAACCTTTAGCCTTAGGTTCCTGGTGTCCAGATCGTTGCAACATGGAGCAGTAAACGCGGCAAACTTTGCATAGCATCGGTCTCTCGTTGAATTGTACCGGAATACCCGACTCGCGGAGATGCGGGTTGATCTCCAAGTAACCCTAGGACCATTCATTTATTTAATTTAATAACAAGGCATGCAAAACTAAATACAACATGCCTTCGATATAACACCATCAAACAAGAGCTACCAATAGGGGTGTAGACTACTTTTTTTTAAATATTATAAATATACATGAAGTATATTAAAAATTATTAAAAAAATTATCATTCAGCTAAAATTTGAATATAAATTTAATTATTATATTTGACCAATTTTGCATTCAGAATGCGTGAAAATCAATTTTTAATGGCGTCGCTATGACGTCACTCGCTGTTTATTTTCTTTTTACAATCTAACACCTGTATTGAACGCAAGAATGATTATACTAACATAAATAGTAAGCTGTGTAAAGATACATTTGTATTCATAAAAAAAATAAGAGTGAAATTAGCAAACGGAAATAAATAAACTTTAATTCAATAGGAGCTTACTATGACAGTTATCAAAGCTTCTTTTCTATGATTGTATGGATTAAGCAAATTAGACGAGTGACTGAAATATTTGGATTTCCTCAATGTTTCGGAAGGCATTTTAAGCTGTTGGTTCTAGCTGCCTTTGCAGTCTTTAAACACCATTCATTTAAACTTAGTCACCATAGTGAAAGAATTATTAAATTTTTTACATAATTTTCTTATTTAAAGAACCTTCTCCGGACATAAAAATAACAAACACAACAAAAAAAGGATTAACTAAATCGATCCAGCCATTCACTATTAATTTGTACGGATTAATTTATATATATATATGTAGATATACTCACATGGTGTATTAGGTGTATATTATGGTGTTTAGTGACTCGTCGACGGCATAGAGCGCATGACATCAGCGGTGCGAGAACACGATGATGGTCACCACATAACGGAATAGTGTGTAAGCCCGGGTAGTCGCATTTTAGTTTCAACTGTTCAATAAATAAATAACACTAAATACTGTCTCTTATTTTATTCTATATTTCAATACCTGGGGGTTAATTCTGATGTATAATAATAAAATCTATCACTATCAATTTCAATTTGACTTATGAAAAATATTTACAATCTTCACGCTTCAACTATTTGACATGTGATAGGGATTGCAAAGTTTTTTTGTAAGACATTGAATGAACATCACCAGCCTGTTAATTTCCCCACTGCTAGAGTTCAGGCCTTCCCTATGGATGGGATCGAGTCAAATCGAACAGGAAGAATGGCCTCAGTGCGGATTGGTGGGCGTTGACGTCTGTAGGTGCAGCCGAATGAAAATTGTCTAAGGCAAACCTTAGATGCAAACATCCTTGGAAGTTATTGAAAAATGTCAAAGGAAATAGTCCAATGCTAACTTTTATCTTTCGACTTGTTTAGGCTTATATTTTGTTCCTAGATCATTAAAAACATCATTCGTTTTTAAAACAATTGTGGTTTTAAAAGTTCTATAGTTTGAAAGTGATTGCAATAAATATAAAAATTGACAGTAAGTCCACAGCTTAAGTTTTGAAATTGTTATCATTTCAAATAATTAACCATTCATCTTAAGCGTTATTGAATGTGAAAATATGTGTAATTAATTTCTTGAGCACACTGAATTGCTTTTTTTGAGAATCAATAATAACAATCGTTAAACAAGCTGTTGTTATTTAAAGTGCACAAGTTAAACGTAAAGAAGGTATCTTTTTGAAAAGTTAATACAATCATCAAGAACTATCAAGAAAAATATAATCTTATAACTATTGGATACAAAGTCCAAAATGTAATTACAATCTATCAAAATTATATAATATGTCTTAAAGTGCGCAGATATATATAACAAATACGAAATATATGACATTATATATGAAAATTACTCTATAACTGTGTCTTTAGTTCCCTTAATATCCCTAACGTTTCATTGAACTAAAGAAACAGTTTTAGAGTAATTTTCATATAATATACAGAGTGACAACAACAACTATAAAACAAGAGTAACACTATTTATCCAGTTTATTAGAAAAAAAGATAATTTATAAATATATTATATTTGATTAATTTTGCATTCACAATACTATACTGTAAAATATTCTTAATGAAAAATGCTTAAAAAATTCACCTAACAAAAAGTACCAGTACCAGAATAGTCGCGCGGATAGGAAATGATCATTGGTTTGAGAGTTTCACAGAGTACTTGGAGTTGTTAGATTTTTTAAGCTTTTTCATTAAGAATATTAAAAACGGATTCTAAGGAAGTTGGTTGGTCGCCAAAAGACCAAGACTCACCAGTTTGTTGACGCTGGATCGCATCTTGATGAGCCATTTGCGTCTTATGGAGTGGTCTGCTGGTGCCACGCAGCTTTCAGTATGACAGGTGGCAGGCCGAGCCGGTATCTCCTCCTCACTCTCGGACTCGAGGGACGGCGAAGTTGGCTTCTCTACCTCTTTATTGCAGCTACTATACAACCATATAATGCTTTAGAAGGTGATTAGACTAAATTACTGATATTTTATGTGATTGAAACCTGAACGCATTCCAAATGAGTGAGGTAATAAAGGTAGATTTGCTAAGAAAGCTCATGTCTTTGAAATTAAAATTGCCTACATAATTTAATATTGTTATTTTTTTTACTTAGTAGAAATGCTAGCACAACTATTTGTATTTGAAAATTCCATTTAGTGACGACTCATATATGTGAATATTAAGAAATATGAGCTAAATAAAGATCTAAAACCACAAATTTACTAAGAAAGCTCATGTTTTCGAAAGGCCAAGTGTAGGCAAAAAAAAGGGAAAATCATATGACACCTGAGGGAGTATTCTATTTGTCTTCCAATAAATTTACGGAAAAATTTGAATTTCATTTTTATAATTTTTTCAAAATCAAATCCGTGAAATATAACTGTGTATCAGAGATTTTTTTTTGTTCTGTGGTAATAAAACAAATATACATACAAAAACTTGATATTATTGAGTTAAATTCTAATGGAGATAATAGATTTTGAGGTCAATGTATAAAACGCGATTAATAAATATTATTATAAGAGAAATACAAAGTTTTATTATAGTTAAGTTTAACTTTTACAACAATAAAAAAATGTATTACATATTTCGAATAAAACTTTTTTTAAACTATGGCTAGTAAAAATTTGTGTTTTAATATGCAAATTAAAATGAATATCTAATATATACTAAGTCAAACTGTTTTTTATAACGATGGTTTTTAATTAAATTATTTGAAAATAAAAATTATGGGAAATGGATTTGTTAACAAACGTCACCATACCCATGCTATGTGAAACGGACTATAGTGTCCTAACTCAGTTGTATCATAATGCTGCTAATAGTATTAATTTATATATAACTTACATAGTAGCTCAGCGTAGTGGATAAGCGCCGCGGGCCGTGATCGTTATTGTTAAGCAACTTTCGCAAAGGTCGGTCACGAGATTGGTGACCGAACAATTATTATCTCGAGCTACTCCGTGCCGTTTATGCTGCATTTGCAGTCGTTAATACCCGCCAATTCGTATTAGGCCAGCGTGGAGGGTCTGCGCCTCTCTTTAACCATCCATAGGGAAGATTTGAGGTCATGCAGTGAGGACGTAAAATGGCTGATTGTGATAACTTACGTATTGAACGGTGGTGAAGGCAACATGGGTTCAGCGCCAGGGTCTGGCTGTTTCCCGAACGGTCGCTTCCTGTACGAGGGGCAATTGGCGCGCCGGTCCACGTGTCTGTAGCAAGCGTCGCACAAACAGCTGTCTATCGTTAGTTTCTCCTCGTCTGTATAGAGATAATTCATTTTTACAATGCTTTGTCTCGCTCTATTATTAGCTCGATGAAATAGCTGCATCCTTGTCAGTAGTGTTTCTTAGTTCATTAAGAATACAGACGCAGATGTTTCGCATTCAGGATTGCCGTCCGTCCCGATTTCTGATGACTACGTGAATGTCATGAGTTTTATTACTTGAAACGTGACAACCCTGATTGCATTTACAGTTTTTAGGTTTCGTTAATGCGTTAGTGTACTAACGGCATAAAACACATCTATACAAATTGATAAAATTGGAGTGTCTGTTTGTAATATTAAATTGACAGCTTTTTACAAAATGCTTATGTATGTATACACGGTACATATATCATAATAATAATTTTTTAGACTTTCTGTCTGTCTACCTGTTTGTTTGTTTCGGTTAATCTTATAAACGACTGGACTGATTTTGACGAGACATACGGCCAGTTGCACAAACGTCCATAAAGCTTTAAGCTCTAAATAAAGTCAAATTTGTATGGGATAAGTCGCTTTAAATTAATGACAAATTTAAGGGACATGTGTGCAACTGACTGTTTCACTGGCAGCTTATGTAATAAGGAGTAACTTAGGCTATTTACTTATTATACTTGGGTAAATTATACTATAAATATTGTTGTTAGACACATAATTGACATACAGACCGAACATCCACTTTTTCTTTGTGAAAATCTACATTATTTCACTGCGCATACGGCGATTGCGAAATGTGCAAGTTTTGTAACTGATACTTATGGTTGGCATCTAGTGTGAAAATCTGGACGTGTAGCATGACGCAATTGAGAACGTTTTGTCTACACCCAAATGTCACTTTTCTCGGATGCGTCCTTATGATATCTCACTCTCGACCCGTAAAAGGGACATTTGGGTGTAGACAAAGCGTTTCTCGAGTTTGCCATGATAGGCATGTTAGTGCTGGAATACCTGTGAGGAAGATGTGAGGATTCAACTTGGAGAGTACCATAGTCTGGAGACGTGCGAGGTCAAAAATAGATTAGATAACAAATATCAAAATGGAAAGTCAAAGAAAAGAGTTGCCAAAAAATCACAACAATACCCTTAGAAGTTCGCTAGTAGTTGATCCTTTAATATATCGAATATTAAAGGATCAACTGTTACAAAACTTGCACATTTTTGTCACGAGCTCTCAGTCTAGAAGTTCCGCCACGGTGAAAATTGAAAAAAGCAGCGCAAGGTTCGAGTAATATGGATGCGTGGTGAATCTTAGTTCTGATTCGATAATAATATTAAGGTATAAAATGCGACGCTTTAGTCGTAGATTTGGCGAGAGTTTAGGAACGAGTTTTCGTTCAAGAGCGATAAGAACTTCATTAGCATCTCATAGAAGTATGATAGACCAAAAATAATTATACAGCTCAGTGTTGGATGTTTTATATACACTGATTGTCATCTGTACCTTGCTTTAGTATACAAAACAAAATATGTATAATAATTTGCTACCAATTTTATTGAGGAACTTGGTGGCATGCCTATACAAAAAGCTTTTAAAATAATAGAAATTACTAAAAATATAAAAAAGGAAATGCGAGAACTGAAACCCATTTACTTAAGAGATTACGAAGCAAGAAAATAATTGAATCGGCGTCGCCTTAAAAAGGTGTCGTTTTTATTTATGTTTTAATGTATAAATAAAAATAAAAAACTTACTGTCTAAAACTTTCTTCTGTCTCTCCGCACTCTTCATTTGCGCTATATGACATGGTGTGTCGAACAGGCCGAATTTGCCTCCACAGTAGAAACACTGGTCCATACACAGACGGCCAGGGTGGATGCTGAATGACGATGCCTTCTCAGGTATCACAAGGTTAAGGGTCTCCTTGGGCTCAGCTGGCTCTGGTAAAGCTTCTGCATCTGGTGAAAGTTATGTCTTTAGGACCACAAAGTGCCTAAATAATAGTAGAAAATATTGAATACAGTTTGAATGATTCATGGTTTTTCTGTTTGCCATACATCAATTTTAAAAACTATAATTTTAAGTAAGAAAAGCCATGGGACATTTCATAGTTAAAAATAACTACAGTTATAATAATCTACATGTCTATAACTAGTGGCCGCCAGCGACTTCGTCCGCGTTTTCCATTATTTCTTCGCTCCTTATAGTTGCAGCGTGATGTTATATAGCCTAAAGCCTTCCTCGATAAATGGTCTATTCAACACAAAAAGAACCAGTAGTTCCAGAGATTAGCGCGTTCAAACAAACAAACTCTTCAGCTTTATAATATTAGTATAGATATATAAAGCTTAATTTTGTAATAAAAGTAAAATATCAATAAAGGTATCTTTGTTAAAGATTAATTAACCTTTTAATGGTAATGTTATCATGCATATTTAATTAAGCTTTTCATGCTTTATATTAAATTTGTCTACTAAATTTAATAAAAATCCAACAGGAAGTGTTACAGCTACATTATTATACCTTGTACCCTATAATTCCATCAAAATAATCAGTAGTTTTATTAAGAATGTACTTATTATCTTAAATTATTAAAGTGAAAGTCGCTTTGGTTAGAATACAAGCCAATACCTATGTTTAATGAGTAACAAAAGAGTTCTAATTATGATGAAAGTCATTGAAATTAATTACTAATAAATTTATATATAGTCATTAGAACTCTAATGTAACTCATGTGGTAATTTGTTTCAAATATGACATTCAATTCAATAATTACTTGTTTTATTCAGAAATAAAAGTAATAAAATGCCAAAAACAATTCATCATCCTTTTTTCATCCTTTTGAGAAATGCAGGGTTAGTATTTTGGGTCCTATCCTAATTTAACTGTAATATGAAAAAAAGTTATATTTTTTTAAAGTTTAGCTTTTGGGATTACTAGTGTATGTAAATAGTACAGTTAAAATTTGTTTTTCTAATTCCAATACTTCATAACATATTATTTTGATTTATTTTGAAAGCATCTCACTATTGATATAAGCTCTAGTTTTTATAATGTGTCATATTTGCTACAAATATTAGTGTTATGTGTGAGTGCAATGTCCACACACCATGGTTGTTAAGACGATTACTGTAATGTGACTTTCTGTGCCCACCATCAGTAGATGCGCCAGCGCCACCCTGTGGACCAAAAATCAAACTCAGTATTGCTATCTTATTTATTAAAAATTAGTTTTCAGGTGTAGAAATTAGTTCTTTCACTTTCAACAATCTGCTTAACATGTTCAGTTTCGTGAATTAAATTAAAATGATTAACTGTCAGTTTTACAAAAGTTTTACAAAGGTTTAATGACGCCTTTAAGTCTAATGAATATCAATTTTGTATGGATAATGTCACTCCAACTAAAGAAAATTTTAATGGACGTTTGTGCAACTGACTGTAAATGATAATAAATCAAGAAATCTCACCTCACGCCTTTCAATTGTGTAGTAAGCGTCATCTTCTGTTGCCTCTCCCTCAGGAGCTGGCTTTCCCGACCTATTCTTGCTTTTCTGGAACGTCATTTTCAAGGAGCTTCGGTACTTCTTTTTGTCTCTCTCACTTGCACTCCTATTAAGTTTTATCACAGCTTTTAAACTTCCAGTGGGCACCACGCTTGGGCCTGACCCTGATTTTGCTTTGTTTTTATATCTTTCCTTCTCCTTTTGCTTCTCAATTTTAGCCTCCTTTGCTGCTTTATGCGTTAACAAACCCAATGTCCTCAATACATTTTCTTTACGTTTCTGGCTTTCAGGAGTTTCTAACAGTAAGTTACTTGGCCCAGGCTGGCTTTCGATTGAGTTACGAGCAGACTTATTACCTCTTCCCACACTTTTGACAGTTTTAGCTTCTTCTACAATATTAGCTTCAGATACTTTGCTTTCTATTAATGGATCTATCTTAGTGTCTACCGTGACTTTGCTTGTTTCCTGCGGAATCACTGCGTCTTTCACTGTTTCACTTTGTACCTCAGTAACAGGTTTTGATTCAGTTTCTATTTTTTCAGTTACATTTATACTATCATTAACAATCAAATTATCTGTAGCTGGGACCACCGTTTTATTTTTTTCTTCTGAGACTGGAGCAGACTCATCTGTTTTTTCTACATCAGTATTAACTGGCTTTATAGGATCAGCTGTTTGAGTGCCTTCGACGTTTGAGACTTCTGTGGTCATAGATATATCCTCAGGAATGGCTTTGATGTTCTCTACTAGTGGAGGTAAAGCTTCAGACTCGACAGGTTGCGTCACTTCAGATTTAGCAGCAACAGGTGTAGTTGATATTGATATTGCAGGTGGTTTAATTTGTTGTGTTGGTGTTTTAATTTTTTCTGCTGTCACCGTCTTGTCTTCAGATTCAACTGTTGATTCTGATGACTTCCTAGATACGGATTCTCTTGACTTGCGTTTTGTGATTATTTTAATATCATTACTATTAATTTTTGCTTCAGTCATAACACGTGGAGTTATTGATATTTGATTTGAGTCTAACACAACGCCCCCTAAATTGGGAGAGGGTGTATTAGGATGTAGGGTAGCGAATTGATGCAAATCAATCTGTGGGGCTGCATGAGACTTGTCTACAGATTTCCTTATTTCAGTTAAGGTTACATCTTTGCCCAGAGATTTCTCAAAAATACTAATAGCATCTGCTTCTTTAGAATGATTTGAGCTGGTAGACTCTTTTCTAGCATTTACACTATTTCTTTTAATTAGTGTAACAGAATTTGGAAGGTCGACATCTACAGACTTCCTTACTTGATCTCTTTTCACTATGGATATAGCAGAATTGTTTTCAAAACAGCTCAACACATTCTCTTTCTCAATTGGTCTCTCTGGTGATCGAACTGATTGTATATTTAGAGGTTTGATATCTGCTCCTGATTTAGGAATTAATACAACATCATTTGTCACCATTACAGATTTTGAATCTGCAGGTTTGCTCTCAGATTCTTGTCTTTGCCTTCTCTTATCAAATTCTTCAAATTCTTTTAATCTATCCATCAGTTTATCAATACTAGCTACTGGGTTACATTTGTAAGTTATTTCAGTATGCTTATTGTTATCTGTTGATCTTTCAACAGAGTCTTCATCATAGTGAAGTCTAATATTTTCACTGTCATCATTCTTAGAGGGCGTATTTTCATTAGATATGGTAGTTATTTCTTTGTCTTTTATGGGTGTTTCTGGAGTTATAATGCTATTATTATCACAAAGTGGCTTAGAGATGCCATAAACCTTACTGATATTTTTAATTTTAGATTCTTCTGTAATATTCTCAACTGTACTAGTATTACTTGAATTGGCCAATTCATGATCACGGTCAATATTTTGATCCAGGTCATTTATTAAATCATCAATTTCCTTTGATAAAGTTTCCAGTGTTTCTTGCTTTTCATCTGAAGTATCATTCGTTATGGTGCTAGTTAAGGGCTTCGCTACAGTGTTTGGGCTGGGCCTTGCAGCAGCTGCTGCTTTCCTTCCCCTGCGTGCTTTTCTAATATTTTTGGACATTTCTTTTGAATTAAATGTCTTGGACATGCTAGTCAATATACTACTTCGGGCATCAAAAAGCGCATCATTTTCAGTCTTCAACAATAGTTTTTCCTCTATCTCTGATGAATTAAAATTGTCTAATTTAAGCCTATTACTATTATTGTTGTCAGAGTCTAATGAAGTACTTCTTTTTAAGCTCAATTTTTTCTTACTTTTTTCATTAACTATAAAACTGGTCTCTGTATCTGTTTTGGCTTCAGTTACATTGGAGTCAACATTAAGAGAAGGCACTTTTTCAGGTGTCGAGATCTGTATATTATTTTCAATATCTATATCTAGATCAGTCTTAGATTTGTCTATTTTTTTCATGAGCTCCTTATTTTCTGTTTCTATTAGGGGTTCACTCAAACTTAAGTCTGATTCAGTAACATCAGAGCATTTTGAGATCTCACTTCCATCTCGGGAACATGATCGTCCTCTTTTAAGTTTTTTGCAATCTTCAGGAATATCTGTAGCATCTGAAGTCTTGGAATCTGAAGGCAGTCTCCTTCTCTTTTTCTGTTCTTTCATCACAACTTCATTTAATAAATTACTTTTTACTTTTCTGGGTTTCCCACTTCTTAGATTTTTACCCTCAGAGAGTAAAGGGCTATTACTTCTTTCTGATCTCATTGAATATGGACTAGTCCGTGGTCCAAGTACGAGACTACTTGGTGAGTCTGCAAGTACTGATTTCATCATTAACATATCTGAAGTAAGTCTTTGTCTTCGACCAGCTGTTTTTGGGCTTGAAGATCTTGAATTAGGTGTAGTTTCTTCCACTGGCTCCTTTTTTATTTCAGAGGCAGGTATTAGTGGGACGGTTTCTTTTTCTTGAGAATTACCAGGCTCACTTCTGATTGCTGCCTTTCTTGCACGAGTTATTGTTTGTCGGATAACAGCTTTGACCTTTTCTTTTGTTACAGCAGCCTTTTTGCTTCTTAATGTTTTTCTGATACCGAGAGGTCTTTTCTTAACTATTGCTTTAGGTTTGGCTACAGGTTTCTTTATTTCTTTGGATGTTTTGGGGTCATCTTGAGAAAGTTTAGTTTTTTCATCTTCATTTATGTCTGAAGCTTTCTTTCGAGCCCGAGTCTTAGGTTCCACCACAGTATCTTCATCAATACTCTTGTCTGATTCTTCCTTCACTTGTTTAGTTTTCATATTGGAATGTTAGGAGGAAGTCTCTGTTCGTTCGACATCAGGTAAAGGCTGTAGATCAGCTGTCCGATGATAAGATCCTGGCGAGATTGTAATATAGCTTTATATTTCTTACAGTTATTAGAAAATTAATATTTTTAATTTGTTGTACATAGATACTTAATAAGCTCACTTCAGGGCATGTATCAAAGCCACTGTGGTCTTTTTAAAGCATCAGATTTCTTAATTATTCTGTGAATTGTAAGCAGTGGCAAAATTGAGACATAGTATACTCCTAAAATATGCCATTTGGACCTGAAAAAGACACAAAAACTCTATACAATAACTTGTTTAGGTATTACACATACCTGTTTAATAGTTTCAAAGAAATATGGTGGCCTAATCAAAACATTTTGAAATTTATCTGAAGTAGAATGAACAATTATGAATACTTTTAGTTAATTACCATAAAGACCAATTTTTATTATTAATATAACTTCAAATTGCGATAAATACCACACCACGACTATCTTCAAGTTCGCGCACAGCTCTGACATTAAATGGACAATTTAATAGAATTTCACTTTCGATTTGACGTTATTAAATTGTATTTCACATGAATATCAAACAAAACAGTTGATTACATTCGGCAATAGCTAGAAAATCCCGCCGGAAAACTCATGAAAAACTCGATGTTTTGGTGGACTCGACTCGCAAATGACACCTAACGCCACCTACAGCTGAGCGAGTGCGTGTGCGTCGAACGAAAGCACCAAATCATTTCCCTAGCCGTGGCGCACCTCTGCAATGTCCCAAGAAAATACTCACAATTTATCCAATGGAATCTCCAAAAACCACAATAAACAGTTAATTGGACACACAATGCACCATAATATGCGAAAAAGTTCAATATAAACTCGCGTTTAAACTTAGAAAACGATTTTTGAAAAGCCCAAATGTCTGCAGGCGTCCGCCATAATGTTTCCTTCGAAACGAATAATATAGTTCTTATTGCTCTTGTAGCAATTCGCTCTATTCGCTATTCAAAATGGCGACGGTGTTGCGTTCACGGTGCGCGTTTGCGCGGCTTTTTACTAGAAAAAGTAATCGAATCCTGAACAACACAATTGATTCAGTTACAGGATTAATTCCGGAATCACAATCGGTAATTATTTTATTATATTTGCACACGCGTAATGTTAAAACGTCGCTTCGACTGCGACATGTGACAGAACTAAGGTTGTACATTCATTCACTCAAGTTCGCCTTGCGATATGATTTTTTTTTCTGAATATTATTTTCAGTTTTTTGATAAATTAAATAATATATGTTTTAATTTATATGCTCAAATTGTAATTTTAATTACAATAATTTAAAGTTAAGTCTATAAATTTTTCTGTTTTATATTTCATATTTAACGGTTTTTTAATGACGGTCAATAACAGTTTATCTTAATTTTTGTTTCAGGTAACATTTCTCACCAGACAATATTCAAATTATGCTAAATCTCCTTTTGCCGATAGAATAACGGAACAATATAACTATGAAATTGTGAAGAATCCCCCTGAATGGAAATATGTGGAAAGACTCATGCCGTTTGAAACAATTCCACAAGTTATCCCAAAAGAAAGTTATCCTGGACAGTGGGTGCCACCAAAAGACGAAGCTAAAAGTCTTCCATTTTTTATATCTAGAACAAAAAATCACGATATTCCTATATATATGGAGACCACATTTAAAGGAAATCGTAGAATTACTAAGATAAAGAAGATTGATGGAGATATTTGGCTAATGAATGATGAAATAAAACATCTTTTAAAAACTAAATATAAAAGATACGTAGAAACACGAGTCCACGAGTTAGCTAGATTCATAGAAATAAAAGGTGACTACGTTAATGATATGAAAGAATGGGCATATTCTAAAGGATTTTAATGTTCTTAAATATAACAAAATAAAGAAAATTCAGATTTATCATTGTAGTTTTATTAATATCCTGTTAATTACTAATCCAAAATCGGCAAGATTTTTGTCTAAGCTAATGAATGCTTTATCAGGCTATGATTTACTGAACTCATTAATTAATATTATACATAATGAAAACTTGCATTTCTTTACTTCTTAATTCAATCATAAATTATAGTATTTATGAAAAGAATACTATTAAGACTAATATTGGACTAGGTGAGCTTTTTTCTGATAGTGACGAAAGCCAATTTTGATAGTTAATGATATCGCAGAAAATATTTTAATTACAGAACGATACTTCTCTTTTCATTACAAACTATCACGAGAAAAAAGTAAAAATATTTGTTTATTTATAGTTAAAAGTTTTAGTGTCACATACTCTTTTTATTATATTAAATTTACTAAATATTCGTCGAAAGCTCTTGGAACCGCTGTACACGGCATGAACTTGGTTTTATTCAGACACCGCTAGGGGCGCTGGTGACGGCGGAAGGTTTTATCTACGTAGCTATATAACATCCGCTCACAGCGTTCTGGGCCTCTTGCGATATGTATTTTCGATTCGATTCCACTCCTTTGTTCAAAACAACTTTTCTGTCTTATATTCTTTATAATAAATGCTTTGGTATGCTTTTCAGTTTTAACTTTAAGGTTAGTTTTTGTTCATAATCAGACGATTAGGTTCTTACGGAATGATTTATTTATTTATGTGATTATTTTATGTTCTTTATTCATTTTAATGTCATTAATTAATGTTCCTTTGTAAGTGCTAAAAAGAAATCAATGTTTAAACGTAAACGACGTCCGTATTACGTAAGATGAGACAAGCATAAAGTACTATACATAATACTTATTAGGTAGGTAGGTACGTATAATGAGTTTCAAGGCTAGCGCTTTCAGTAACACGTGTACAATAATTCTAAATAAGTGTCGTAATAGGTAGGACTTGCAAACCACGGGCGGTGGGGTTGATAGCTATTAATATTAAAATATTTTGCTTTTGAATGGATTATTATATTAATTAATACCATGCTGATATGAAATAATCCATGTATGATGTATGTAGGTATGTGTTATGGACCAAGTTATAAATTCAGCGTTATACACGATGCCCGGACATTATGAAAAAGGGCCAATATGAGAGAGCAATTTGATAATAATAATTCAAATAATCTAATTGATGGGGCATTATACATATTGTTAATTACCTTCTGGGCAGAGTAATACAAACATATTTTATTAGTAATGTTTCATGTTAATTGTCTTTTTTATACTGGGCTCTCTTGATTTCGATCTAGCCCAAGGACATAAGTTAGATTTTATAATAAACTAAATGTAAAATAATCTTATTATTTGGAATAATTAGCAATAAATTCATACATTAAACATATAAAAATAAAAACAAAGATTTCAAAACATATATTTGTATGTAACATACAATACCTACGTGTTGTATTTTTTATATAGAAATTTAGAATTGGCGACTACGCTAACGTGCGCCAAAGGGGGGAGAATAATAAAAAAAGAAAAACAAAGTTTAATTACTACATTATCAAGATAATTAAAATTTAGAGACTTTATTTTATAGACTTTAAAGATTTGTTTTCTCGTTAAAAAAATATGATATACGAAAGTAGGAAACTAAAATCTTAACTGTTATGTATTTAAAAAAATAACTTGGAATTCAATACGAATTTCTAATCTATCACGTGACCCACAGAGCCAAAATAGCTTTGTTAATTTGTTTTTTTATCCGTTAAAAAAAATAACCAAAAATCAGATTAATTATTTGGCGTCATTAGCATCTTAAAGTAAACCGTGTCATGCGTTCTTCCCTCCCCGAACCGCGTCAAATTTAGCTTTATTATCAAATTGCCTAATTGTCATATAGCATTATAACAATGACCGTGCAATGTTATAAATAATGAAGTTAAGATGTAAATTAATCACTTAGCCCGATAGAGCTAGACATTATACATAATGCTCGCACATTATTAATAACGTCCTTAATTAATATCTTGCTTTGTTTAAGCAAGCAAATTTAAATATATAGACTGCCATAATAAAAAAATGTAACTTTTTATGTAAACGACATTACGGCGAGGGTGTAGGTATATATCTTAGTGATGTTCCTAGTTAAAGTAAGTATTAATATCGGGTATAATTCAATTCCGTAAATACGTATTATATATAATGTCATATGACGAGATATCCAATTAGTTATGGTAATTGTACGCATACTAACATATTAGATTACTGTAGAAGGAAAACTTTCTACAATATATAGGAGAAATTATTGCAGAAAGTTTTACTTTTTGTATTAGGCATCCTTGAGATTGGGGTTGGTTACGGCGGACTCCTTGCTGGATCCCGGTTACTTCGCCCCCATCGAGGGTAATCCGTTTTGGGTTTTATTAGGAAGGCCAACCACGCTTCATGTCCTTTTCAGTACAGAGTTGTCGGAGAGCCCTGGTTTAAGGTGCTTTAAGGTACATTTTTCAGGTTGTGTTGTCAAAAAAAGGAATCCTAAGGTAATGTTGACTGTATCTCCACGTACCTACAATCAATATTGATAAATTATTGAATACCTACCACGATTTATTTTTATTGTAACCGCAATTAAAATGTTCAGGTGCAGTAAAAAGAGTCCAATTTTTCTTGTATGTTGTGAAGTAGCTTTTATAATTTTTTTATTTTCAATAGTTCTGTTTATGTTGCAGAAAATTTTGTTACTTACATTTAGTACTATCAAGTACTAATAGTTATGTACCTAGGCCTGCTTTTGAAAGTTTTTTTCTTAATTGAATAGAAATATATCTACAAAATTTAGGTGGTGGGAGTGGGCGATGAAAGTCTATTTTGCGTAATCCCTAATGATTCCTCTTTATAAAAATGAAACCTATTTCAGTAATTCCTAATATTTTCTCTGCTTATACAAACTAGGTCTTTTGTATAATTATTTCTATCTAATAATAGGACGATTTACATTACTTTTGAGATCTTGTTTTAGGAGTGTGAATCGACATCAGTGGCATGTCATTGAGAAACTTTGAAATAGGACATGTGGACATGTCAACAAACAATGAGAAATCCTATCATAAAGAAAAATGTTTAAAAATTCATCAGCTCATAATTTTTAAAGCATTTTTCTTTGAGTTAAATATCATTGCATTTTCAATGCACAATTGACCAAATATGAGTGAGTAAAAAATTAAATATCACTAAAAATTATGTTTTTTTTTTTTAAATAAAACTTACTTCGATCTTTAAAAAGGTGAAAAATAATACTTATCTCAATAGCAACTTCATGAATGTAGAAACTGTTATTGAAGGCGGGCGGAGGTTTTCTATTGATAATTAAATTTAAGTAATGTATTATTTCTCAGTTTTTAAAGCACGATGCGGGTTGTTTTTTTTAAATGTTGAAAATGAGTTTTAGTGATATTGATAATATTTACATACATAATACGTTATCTGTTCTTTATTTTTTAAGCGTTTTTCATTAAGAATATTTTTCAGTATAGCATTGTGAATGGAAAATTAATCAAATCTTTTGTTTTTTTTGCTAATATAAACATGTCGTCTAAATATTTTGGTGAAAAATTACCAATTTCATTTCAATAAAATTTGTATGGCACTACCTGAGGCCCGTAAGCTGTCTAATAAAACAATAATTTTAATCGATTTATAATTGGCGGGGTAATCGCGTAACACACACTCAAAAACATACAGTCGAATTCAGAACCTCCTCCTTTTTCGGAGTCGGTCGAAAAGAGCTGCTTTTTTTTGTAGGTATTCATATCTTCGGGCCCTCCTTGTTGGATACCGGGTTCTTCATATCCGCGTGAGGTGAACCGCAGCGGGTTTTACCAGGTAGGCCTTAACCTGCCCTTTTCAGGGCAGGGTGATCGGATAGCCCTGGTTGAAGGCTTAAGGTGCATTTCCCCTGAGTAATCAAAAGTTATTCATATCTCTTTCCTTTTTCTTTATTACTCCATTTCTTCTCTCTAGAATTTTCGAGGGTATAGCATATTTCTATCACGATTTCATAAAAAAAACTGGCCCTGGTATGATGACAGTATTAATACGGATGATGACAAATTTGTTATTGTCTGTGCGTCAGGTAAATTATATAAGTATATTGAGTTTATACTACTTGTACATTACACAGTTGGTAGATAATCGTTTAGGTTGGTATCACAGATGTCAACTACACAATCATGATTCTTTATATTTCCTGCGTTCTTATTAATAGTGCATGTCAAAATGGGAAAATGAAGTGAAATATCGCATTAGCATTGCCAAGATGTCGTATCCTATGGCTACTGGGTAGGGTTAGGCGGCCGCATTTCAAGTTACTGCCTGATTCGTACAGAATTAGTAAAATTATCTAATAAAAATAATAACGATTAACCTAAATCAAACTGATATAACATTGAGAAAGAATTATGATGTTTGTTGTTTTATAAAAAGAAATTTAATAAACTATAGATACTATAAAAATAAGATGTTTGCATGTAATTTGTTTTCTCTATTCAACAATATCAGGTTGCCTTTTTGAAAGTGGTCCTCTATAGTTGCGTAGAGTTTTTGCACAATGTTTTTTGTCACTCTATTATGTTATAACGTAACCTTTTTGAAATCTAGGTAACGATGGGTATGCCACATTTTTGAAAAGGCGGCACGATACTGTTGAGAAGTTAAAATAACCACTTATCTATACCAATGTTATAAATAGGTAAAGTTTTTAACCGTTTTTTTTTATTTGGTAGTAATCATCGAAAATACTGATCCGATCATGAAATTTTTTTCTAAATCATATTCATTCACGCGGATGAAGTCGCTGGAAAACGGTTTGTATCATATAAAATTGAAGGGTATATTTCTTATCGCTTGATCGATCACACCCGTTTGTTACCTGAAATCCTAATCGTTGTAAGTGACCTATGCCTTTTCTTGCCGTGTTCTTTTTATGAATGTTAGATTTACAATAATACTAAACCGACCCATTAGTCTTTCCTGAAGAGGATCAAAAAGGTC